ACGAGTCTCATGGAGACTTTTGGAATCAACAGAAAGCTCTGGCTGGGCCCAGGGCAAGCATAGCATTGATGTTCTCTTCTCCAGCCCGTGTGCTGGTTTGTATGCAACCAGTGCTATTCCACAGTGCAGCCAAGCCCGTCCTGGTCCCACTGAGCACACACTCAGCAGGCCCAGGTCGAACCCAGGGCCCCAGGGCCACCCCCAGCCACATGCAGTGCCTGCATCCAGCCTCAGCCCCCAACTTATCCCCAGCCTTGGCATATGCCAGGGAAGCACCGAGGGAGGCTGGTGCCTCCTTCAGGTGGCCAGGAACTGCCCGGCGCCCCTCGGTACCTCGTCGGCACAGTGGCTGCTGCCCCGCTGCTCGCACAGGGCAGCAGGATCCAGGCAGCTTTTTGTGAGCAGCCCACTGGATAAAAAAAAAAAAAAAAAAAAAGAAGAAACAGAGTCCCAGGGGTGCTGTCCTGTAGGAGGCCAAGCAGAAAAATTCCCACTACTTGAATCCTCAGTGCAGAACAAATGCTGAATCAAGGTTCTTAATCGCATTTGAGACTCAAGCTTCTTGCTACCAATTGCCGAAGAAATCTTGTTTATAGAAGACAAAGGGAACGGACAGAGAATGAAAGTCATAAATACATGAATCTGTAACCATTTCCTCCATTTTAAAAGTCTGAATATTAAAAATGATGGCTTCTTCAGGCACCCCCAAGGTAGTTTCCAATTGTGTCAATGGCACTACAGGACATAAGCACAAATGAAAATCGGCAGGATGAAGATTTTTACTTAAAATTACTTTTGTGCTGTTAGAGCCAACATAACGACACAGAGTTTTATTGGTAATTTAAAACACACAGAAAAGAGGCATTTTCTCCCTTGACCTCCCTTCAGCACACACACCAGCTGCCCAGCAGGGCAGGTCCTGCAGCACAGAGCCTGCTGCTGTGCTGAGCAGCGCAGACATGTACCTGTGTGGGACGCTGCTGCCAGCCTCCAGGTGGACCAACACGTCCTTCTTTTTGTTTTTGCTTCTAGCAGAATAACCAGATACAGGAAAACACGAGCAGTTACTGTGACAACTGTCTATCACGCACTCTGCAGCATACACGTATTCTTGCTTTATGTTACGGTTTTGCATTATTTACAAAGCACAGCTCCAAACAATTCACTTAATAAGTGTTGCCAAAATAATGACGACTCTCTAGTTTTGAAAATACAACATTTGTTGTCCTCTTTAGTGACATACACAGGCTGCAACAGGAAAGAGCTGAGGGCTGGCTTTTCTCCCACTTGTTTACCATCCTGCCTCCAGCAATGGCTGGTACCTGGATGCCCCAGAGAAAAGACAAAAATATATGTTCCTATATGTTGGCTGCTGCCATAGAGATAGTGCCCCTAGCTAAGCGTATGGTGTTATTTCACAGAGGAAAACTACCTTTTATTTCACAGCATTCAGAAAGCCGCCTGAGAAAAACAGACCAGTATTAAAAAATATATTCAAAAAGACAAAGCAAAAGGTGCTTCTATGAACTCCTCGTAACTCTAATGTGTTTTTTGTTTTTTTTTTGCAGTAATCCAGAGCAGTTACCGATGGGAATTGTTGCCCTGCGATGCTGAGGGGCGAGCAGAGACCATGCTGGGGCGCTGCGAGGAGGATGCTTGCTCTGCTGCAGTGCAGGATGGCAGCTGGGAGGCACGGGGACAGCCCCCAAGGGCAGGGGTCTGCACCCCATGGACACAAGCAGCTGGTGCCATTGGGATGGGGCCCTGGAGGTTTTCAGGACATGCTCATGGGGTGCATTTGGAGCACGGCTTCTCCTGCCAGCTGGGCTGGAACGAGAGCCTGGCAGGTAGGTCCTGAGAGCCCCAGCTCCCCAGAAAGGCTTTCTGCAGGGAAGAGGGCGTGAAGGTGCTGCCATATGATGGGCCTCTCTCGCCTTTAAACATTTCTTCTATTTTTCTTTTTTTCTTCCTTTCCCATGCGGCTGCAAACCAGCCTTTTGAAAACAGACATCCAGCACCTCAGTCTGACAACTGAGTGCTTGAATCTTGTCACAATATAAGCCCCGAGTACTTCACAGCCAGAGGAAAATAATGCCATTAATACAGCAAAGGGATCTAGATGCATTAGCTACACCCAAGAGAGGGCTCGCGCTGCAAATCTTAAGCATCCGAGACAGCAGATGGAAAAGCAGTACTAGAAAGGGTTTGACAAGCATGTCTCTTGTCTCTCTATTCCATTTAGGAAACTGAATCACACCGGCACAATAGTAACGGAGGCGTCCGACCCTGAGGAAGCACGAAAGCAGCCCAGACCGCTAGGAGCAGATTTCATTTTTCTGCTTCGAGTAGCACTGGCACGGACTCCCATGGCAGTGCGCCCCTGCCCACGTCGCTCCCAGCCCACGCTTCTCCGGCACCACACGTCCATGCGCCGTGCCCGGAGCCAGCACAGAAGGGGCTGCTCTGTGCCCAGGGATGAGCAAACACCGACTGCCCCAAAAACTGAGGTGGCACAGACTGCCAGCCTGACACAGTGCCCCTCTCCACGAAGGGCAGCCCTTAGGGCTCTGCAATACCTCTGACGGGAAAGGCTTTAGGTTCAAGGCTCAGCAATGAAATTAGTTCATTTATTTCTTCCCTTACAGAGCAATAGGGTGAGTCGCTTGGATGGAGGAAGCAGGGAAATAGAGAGTGAACCATCGACTTTCAGATTTCAAAACTTCAGAATTGAGCCAAGTTTAAGTTCCAGAGGCTTAGCCTCTAAAATTGATCATTTCACTATCAGAAATCATTGCTTCGTAGCTAGTCGTGTGAAACTAATATTTCCATTCATTGCCAAAGTGAACAATACCTATCAGATAACAGGTTCCCGACGTATTACATACATCACGCATCCGAAGAGCGCCGGCACCAATCGCCCACAGTACATCAACGCTGCGTGCCTGTCTTGTGGTTCCCATCTCACTTTGACATTGAGGAAGAAGAGCAGCAGCGTGCGAGGCATTGCTGGAGAGGGGACCATAAAGAGCGTGCTGCTAAGAGGTTTCTCATTAGTAGTAGAGAGCTGAAGATTGTATGATTCATCATCCCCTTTTTGGAAAGCTTGCAGAGTATGGAAACAGCGCAAACACAATTTCAGTTGCAACAAAACACCATGTCTTTGAACATTAGCTTTGCTGGGCAGCAATAATCATCTCCATTTATTTTATTTAATCCTTTAAGTGCACAAATGCAAAATGGTTCTGTAAGTACCTAGAGGATAAATGAGGTTAAAACATTCATGGGCGGTAGAATCAAGGCAGGCTCATGCTGGTGTTTCGTACATTCAGCCCTCTATTATTTTTGCCAGAACCATTACTAAGCAATCAGCTTTAAACATTTCAGACCTTGGTGGCAGGGCTTCTGCATAAAACGGCTGTCTGCTTTTACTGAAATCCAACTCTTCATTATAAAAGAGCTGTGCAGCAAAGATAAATGTAACAAACACACCTCACTGTAGTATGATTGCACCGGAATTAGGAACAAACTGCAGGTTTTTTGGAAAGAGACTTATTTTCTCAGAGCTCTGGAAAACCAGATCTGCACTCAACTGCAAACCTCCCCAGGTCACAGCTTCAGCTGGTTTAAGTCAGCGTAGCTTCAAGTCAGATGCACGTAGGGAGCAAGAGATGCAAGAGGGACGTACGTAGATAATTACAGAGAGCTAAAATTGAACGAGGGGGTGCCAGCCTGCAAGTGCTGGAAGCCCTGCAGCAGCTGACCGGGGGAGCTGGAGGCAGGGCTCAGGAGGACGGGAAAGCCGCTCCACGGTTAATCCTTTCCCCAGCTGCAGCAGAGCTGCTAGCACAGACCACTGCCCTCCCAAAGGGCGTCTGAGACCTCGGGAAGTTTTTAAACACGCAGATGTACTCAATCCATTGCAGTCGCCATCTGCAAACGTACAACGCAAAATAATTTAACACCTAGGAAAGGGAAAGATGAAACAAAAGCCTAAAAATGTTGGCAGCCTCTTTGAAGGCGAAGGGAATGTCACAACTCTTTTTTAACTGCATCTTCATTTTTGCAGGCAAATTACAAGTCCAGGTTCAGAACTGTTTTTGTTCTGCCGTTCTGCTGTGACAGTATGTGCTGGCAGCCACTAATTCATTCAGGAAAATCCACAATTAAAGCAAAGAAGGGAAAATGACAACAGGTTTGTGGGGCTCCTGCTTGCCACGCAGCAGAAAGCAGTGACGTCCCGTGCAAAGGGCCTTAGGACTTCCAAGCCCCTCTTGCCTGCTTCTCAGACTCTGCCTGGAGTGCCTCCCGATCTTTTCCTCCAGATCACCCAAACCTGAATTACAGCAAACTCCTCAGCTCGCCTGTCAGCTTTTTGTCTTATCTAATGGGCTTCTGTGACTGAGCAGTCCAGATATAAACAGCAAATAAAATGCACAATAATTAGCATAGGAGATCTGCACTGCTCCAGTAGCCAAGATTAATACCATAAATTTCAGGAGTCCTCGGGGATATAGATTCTGGAAGTCTGATATATACTTCTTATGCTTTTAAAGGAAAACAGATTTACCTAATTTACAATCAGGCTTGATGGTGGGAGGAAGAATTTAATTTTTTCTCTTTTGATAAATATCCTAGCCAGCTGCATCTTTTCTGTAATCCCTATCAGTCTGACATTCAAGGGGATATTTTGCGGGTCCATCATCTTGTGGTACTCTTAGTCCAAGAAGTGCCCCCATGTAGGAAAAGTGGATTTCCTCCTACAAGCCTCTTACACCTACAAACATCCCAGGTGGGAACTCTTGGGGGAATTCAGTCCCTGCCCACAGAGAAGGCAACACGTCTGTGGGGGCTGAGGGGAGGTGCTGTGGGGAATCGCTACCGGGCATGCAGAGCATTCCCATGGGAAAGCTGGAGCCCTCCAGCTCCCCTCCCTCTCCCCGGCTCGTGCAGACAGAGACACTATTCAAAACTGCCCTATTCAGAAGCGTCAGGGAAAGAACATCTGTTGAAAAATAAATGCAGGACTAATTATATATGATTGAGGATTTTAAACTGCTATTTTTAGCTTAAAATTAAACAGATTTGATGAATCAAATGCTTGTGCTCAGCATTTCAAACTAGGAGAGAGGAGCACGGACTGCTTGACCTGCTGAGCTGGAGCGGGGAGCCCAGAGGTGCGGTGCTGCTCACCGGAGCTCGCCACGGCACTGAGCATCTGTCGGCACCTGGGCAGAGCCAATGGGACCCACCAGACCCAACATTCATTTGAATAAGAAAGTATTTTTTCCTCCAGCCTGAGTAGTAGCAGGTGAACATCAAGATGCTTTTGATTATCAAGTTTATTACAGCTCATTCTGCTCGGGAAGATCCAAACAGCACGGTGCAGTGACACATCTGAGGACACGCATGAAAGAGCTGGTGCTCATCACCCCGAGGTAGACAGATCCCCCAGAAGGATGCCTGGGTTCTGCTGGGCTCTGATCCTGCAGCAGTGCGATGATGTAATTGGCAGAGCATCACAAGAAAAGCTTGACAGAGTGTTTTTTCATCCGCTGCATTAAAAAGTAAATGGGCACAGTGGAGATATTTCAAAGGGGCAATAAATCGAGGGGAGGCGAAACTGCAGCAAGTGCTCGCGGGCACGGCCGGGTGCTGGGGGCGCACCCAGGAGATTGTGCTCAACAACACTGGAGAGGGAGCAGAAGAGGGACACAGTTGTGCATCTGCCAAGAGAGCCACCAACACCCAACAGGAACGCATTTGCCCGAGCGACACCGCTGCTTTCCTGCCAGCCTCGTGAGGCTGCTTTGCCCTGGGTTCCCAAACTGTGCCTGGGCTGTGGAACCAGCCAGGACTGCGCCTGTGTGGGGCCACGAGGAGCCCCCTGGGCAGGATCCCCCTGAGATCCCCAGGGGAGCATCACCCAGGGCTGGGGAGGGGGCAGCAGCCTCCCTCGGAGCAGAGGAGCACTTGGAGCAAGCAGCGAGCAGTCAGGGGAACGGCTGCTGCTCACACTTAGTGCCCTTGAATTGGCAGAGTGAGAGATCATGTTTTATTTTAACTTCGTAATAATTACAGTTATTACTGAATTCATGTATACCAAAGAGGTTACAGCTCCCTAGGAAAGCTCGTAATGTTATTAATTGGTATGCCATTCCATTGGCTTTATCGTGTAATAAGCTAATTCACACATTTTGATGTTAAGCAGCGTACCTCCAAAAACTCTTGCAGTTACTCGTTGTCACTGGGAGCAACGGCAGCTGCACAGATGTGGTGCAGCAGTAATTGTCCTTTGAAACAATTGCTTCACAGAGCCCCAGTAACTCAACCCTAGAACAGTAATAAGCACAGCCTTTATGTAGAGCAGTGAAATTAATACTAAAGATTTTAATACAGAGGAATGGCACGACAAATTAAGGAAGCGTTGCTCGTCGTGCAGTACCAAAGAAGAGGGAGATCTTATCTGAAAGATAGTGATGAGCTCACTGTTCCCGTACTTTCCACGTGATTGCTCAGATTTAATTTCTCTGCAGCCGGGGAACTTCTCGGACAGGAGAACTTCTCCATGAGGGCTGGAGCAGCCCCGTGCTGCCGCCTGGCAGCTGCTGGTTCTTGGAGGAGGTGGAAAACCTCTGGGGGCTGAAGCTGTGGCCACAGGTGGCATTATTGCAAGCAAACGGGGTTTTTGCTGCTGGCCTGGGTGGGTTAAGGGGAGGCTGAGAGGGGCAGCAGCCCCCAGCCCCATCTCACCCGCCTGAGGTGCTCCCACCCAGGCACTGGTGGTGGCGGAGGCAGATGCATGTGGTGTCAAAGTGACATAAATCCCTGCTGTGCCTGTAACCTCACATTGATTTTTACTGTAAATCTAATACTTGGAGTCTGCCATCAAATGAATTGTTGCACATAAAACCCAACCATACACCCGATGGAGTAAAATTAGACAGCAGGTCTATTCCAGGACTGTTGCAATTTCCTCCACGATGTCAGGCTATAGTAACACATACATATTTCAAAAAAATTAAATTGCTATTAAACTTTCTGACCATCTTTGTAAATTAACCTCTCTTTCATCTCAGCAAGAGCTAGCTTTTGATTTAGCAGGAAATAATTTTTTGAGCAGTTTCCAGACTACTTCCATTAGGCTTTGGGGCTGTGGTCAATGAGCTTGAGTTAATTACCTGCTTAAAACAGATCACGGTGCTGTGCGAACCGGTCACTCATCTGTTCTGGAAGCATTGCTTCTCCCTCCTCCTGCTGCCGGGGGCAACGAGCCCCCAGGGACAGCCTGCCGGGAGCTTCGTGCCCTGTTTGCACTTCAGGTTTCACAGCCCCAGGAAAGATCCCACAGCGCTTGCCCCTGCAGCACCCCACAGGGCTTGGTCATCACCAAGAAGAACCGCATGGCTCCGTGCCTCTGGAACAACCTCGCCATGCATGAGAGAAGCGCTCTGGGTGCACACCAACACCTAAAACCTTCAATGCACCAGCATCCAAAGCAGGAAGGGGGCAGAGAAAGGTGTCCCAACAACTTTAGGGACCTGACTTGGACTTTTTTCAGTTTTACTCCTCCTTGCTGATAAGCTACGTAACGTCTGATTACTGGCGTGCTAGCTTGTGACACGATTTGCTCTAGGTATGTGCCTCAATCTTTGCTTTTGCATTCATGCATTAATGGCTTCAGTCACAAATCAACAGTCCACGTGTTTGGCCCTGTGTAATCAAGGGAAAAAAGCAACACCAAAGAGAAGGATTTTTTTATTTTTTTAATGTGTTGCTTTTCACTTGAAAGCCTTGGCTCGTGAACAGACAAGGCTGTGTCCAAACCAGGTGAACCCTCATTTATCCAGTATCAACAGAGCTCTAATTGAGAGATCAATTGGGAACCTGCCTCTTCATGCACAATTTGGAGAGCTGACAAAGCCACCTGTAGGGGCTGGAAAATAAGTTCTGCCTCATTACAAAAGAAATTGCATCTAAATGAAAAACAACATATAATAAGAGCCCTAAACTGCCTGCAAAACGCTGCCAACCAGACAGGTAACCCAGTGATATATAGCATACACCATGTCTTTGACAAGGGTCACCTTTAATTATTCAGCAATTGAAGTAGCTCAAATCATTTCCCAAGGGCTTAAATGTTGTGTTTTTTTTTGGTGGGTTTTATTTATTATTATGATGTGTAAATTCCAGGGCAGAGAATTAGCTGGCCTGAACCTAAGAACTGCATCTCTTTGATAGATTAAAACCTAAATAAGCATACATATAGCAAAGCAGAGGCACATTAACCATGCTTTCCACCAACATTTTGAAAAGATTTGTAAGTCAGAATATCCTCCAAGCGTTCCCCTCCCCTTCTGTTTGGTTTAGCCTGTTTTCATCCTCACAGCCTAAACGGGCACGGACACTGCGGGATGGGGGCTGGCTCCGCTGCAGGGCATCGCCCGGCCACACCACAAACCCTCCTGCTCCATTGCTGCAGTAAGAGGGAGGAAAGACCTTCTGGGGTCTGCAAAATGAGATCAGGATAATAAAAGACATTCTGGAAATAGACAATAACGGTGAAATGATGTTTTGACATGGAGGCCATATATGGTTGACAGGAAAAAATGAACAAAGTAGGTGATAGAGGAGGCGCTGGAAAAATAATTTCTAACAGCTGATTAGACTCCTGTTCAGCAGATCCCAGACAAATGGGATGGATTTTGTAGAATAAATCCCTAGCTGTCTTGGTTTATCACCACACTTCTGTTTCTTTCCTTTAGGATTACATTTTATTTTTATTTTTTTTTACCTTTTTCTTTTTTTGGGGTCTGTTTGCACTGCATCCTCCCGGCTCACGTACCTGGGTTTGCTGCACTCCAACCCCGGCAAAGTCTCGCGGGACATGGCAGTTGGCGGAGATGGAGCTGCTGCAGGGGAAGGGCAGGGAAAACATTTTGAATCAACCTGAAAAATGTGTCTTCTCTGAAAACTGAGCATTCCCCAACATTTATTTCCAATTTTTAAATATCATTGATCTATGATCTGAGGAAAATATGGGTTCATTTTTCAGGTGTTAGCATCATTTTAAAGTAAATCTCAGTAATACCTCAACAGAAGTATTATTTCAGATCTAAAAAATGTAAATGTTATATTTAATAAACATCAATAGTAAATGTTTTGACTTCCTGAAAAACGTTTTGTTTTCTTTAAAACGCTGAAACACTTTGACAAATGCAACATGAATTCACAAGTGCTTTCAGCTGACTCAAAACCACATTTTTTTTTTTCAACAAATAAAACATTCATTTGAAATGTTTTGCCCAACTCTAATGTTTGTCCTGTGCCTAAGGGTGAATTGCACTCTGTGTGAATAATAACGCGGTGCAGACAAGATCAATAAAGCTCATATTTCATTTTATTCACTGTCATGTTTCAGGCTAACCTGGCGCACAGCTGTGGCATTGCTGCACAGCGCACACAATGTGGCTTTAGTTCCAGCAGAACGAGGAGCAAACTGCCTTTTAAATCCCAGTTACACCAGCGATTTGATAGCGAGCCTGGAGAACCACTGGAGCGCCAGCCCAGCCGCTGGGGGGGCCGGGTTCAAACACTGGAAGCGGTGTCACCGCGCTGGCTCGGGCACAGACCCCCCTGCCAGTGAGGAATTGCCTTCAGCAGCTCCCACTGCGATCAAGCCAAGCCCAGAATAACGCAGCTTTGTCCTGCTCATCCACAGAGAGAAACAACACAGGGCTGCTCAGGGCCTGATCCTGAGCACCCTCGTTTTTGTGAGCAGCACACTCAGCACTTGTTTCATCTTCCAAGCCCAGACCGACAGGGCCGGTTAATGGACAGGGCCAGTTTCTGGGGTTACTCAACGGGACAAACATCTCCGAGCTGTGGTTTGTTTCTCCTGCTTGACGATTAGAGACCTCTGTAATTTATTCTGACCATGTGATGGGTATATTCAGAGCCTCGCATCTCCAGGTTGGAGACAGGCTGACAAGCAGCATGGCCAGGGAAGATGTCCTAAAATATCCCCAAAGAAAAAGAAACTTGAGACCACTATTGTACGAGGCAGTGTCAGACACAAGACCACTGATGGTCATTACAAAGTTTAAAAATACACCTAAAATTGAACTTTTGTTAAAAAAAGCCCGTGGCAGTTCCAGGAACACACTTCTGCTCGGCATCCTCTCGGAGGCTGCACTGATCAATACCGCGCTGCCCAGCTGCTGTAGCACACCGGGATTATCACATTACGGCACGCTGCCCTGCGCTGATGTAGCAGGCTTGGTGCCTTTTCAGGACTGCGAAGATTGGTGTTGTACCAAACCAAACTGAATTTAAGTCACACCACAACAGCTAATAACGGAGAGGGTTCCTCAGGATGTCAGTTTGCACATGCCGGTGAGGTGAAGGATTTTTCTGCGTCAGGCTCTGCAGGATGGGCTCCCCCATGGGTCCCCATGCCCTGGTCTCTCTCCAGGAGGCTGCAGAGCTCAGCCCCATGGCAGAACCCACAGCTGGAGGGCTGAAACCAGAGCACAGCCCCAGCCCATGCTCAGCCCCGGGCCACCAGCCAGCGAGGGGACAGCCCCAGCCCCGTTTGCTGCTCTCATTCCAATCCTCTCCAGCCTTCGCTGTTCCCTGGCACGCTACCCGAAACAATTACAGGGCTTTTTTTGTACCAACTACAAAGGGATTTCACAAATTGGTGAATTTCGTGTTTCTCATTCAGAAAATGCTTTGGATGAAATAGCTGTGAAGGGAAGAGCTGCACAGGGGGCACCAGGAATAGGGCTGGGAAGCCCCCCAGCCCTCCCCAGCCCCACATACCTGCAGTTGGGATGCACGGGCACTGGGGGCTCGCTGCCAGGCTGTGCCTGTGCGAAGGAAAAAGGGTGCCAGAGCCCCAAAGTACCAGTAACTGCCCAGCACAGACAAGAGGAGCAGGGTCTGGCTTCCTACTCAGTTCAACACCTCTCCTCGGTCATTAAACAACAACAAAACCACACAAAGCCAGAGCAGTTCCCACCATATTTTCCCTTTGCTCTTTCCATACTGGAAAATCTGGGTAACTGGCATTTGCCGAGCACTGCAGCAGTGCCTGCATCTCCCCATTTCATTTACTGCCTCCCTTCCCCTTATCACAGCAGTAAACATCTATCACAGAGCCAATATTTACATTTCAAATGAAGACTGACTACATCTGGGATGAGCCTACCCTGTTTTGTTCTCTCCTCAATTATTTCTCCATTTGCAAGCTGGAATAGTGGCAGATGCACAGGTGGTTCAGATGCAGAGGCTGTGCACAGGGTCCAGCAACAGAGAGGGGAGATGCAGGACACCAATTTTTGCTTCATTACAGAAGTTTTTTGCAATGCTGCTAAAGAATGCTGAGGGAACCGGTGACGTGCTGGCCACGTTACAAAGCTGTCTGGGTGATTAGCTCATAAAAGTAGAGATCAATTCACTGGAGTGAAATAATTGTGGGTTCATTTTGCTACATGCTCTGTTCTGCATCTGATGACTAATTATCAGCATCTAATAAGCAAATGTTATCTTTAAATCATGGAAAGGTTAAATGCATTGCTGTTACATGATGCTAAAGATTGCCCACGTGAGAAGGTTGAATATTTATTTTATTGTATGTTTGTCTGTTTTTATCTGTGTTGGGTAGAAAACATCCTGCTTCAAAAATAGAATCAGAACCATCTAGGTTGGAAAAGACCTTCAAGAGAATCAAGTCCAACCATCAACTACATTGCGGCTTCTTTGATTTCCTAAATAGATTTTTATTATTTCAAAACTGAGCACACTCAGCTTCTGTACTAATTACCAGGCACTGCCCTTCGCAGGGAGCGCAATCTTTGCCACATTTTCCCTGCTCTCTTTGAGCACAGGAGATGAGGGCAGCGAGGGGAGCTGGCACTTCTGTGTCACTGCAGCAGGGAGGTCAGGCACAGGGTCCTCATCTGACCACATCGGGGGCACAGCCCGGGTTATTCTGACCTCTCAGCACTTTTCTGAACTGATCCCATTTTTTTTCCCCCACCCCTCTCTTCAGACTCAGATTTAATCCTACAGTGCAAATGGAATTCAGACAGCTGCTTGCCTTTCAGGTTTAGGAAAAAAAATGTATAAATTTCATAAATTGGTAGAAAGAAGTTAAGAAAAATAATTACAAGATAGACTGAAATAGCAAAAAGCTGCTTTAATTCTATAAAAACTAATGAAATGGAGCTCCTCCTTCTAGCTGGCACTGAGTGCCATTGAACAAAATGCATGAACTGAAAGGCTTCCTGAAAGTAAGGGAATAAGTGAAGAATCACAGTTTTGAGAAATTATGTTAGATTTGGGTCTAACTCCAGAGACCCGGTGTCTTCTCATCACCCTTCAGAAAGCAACATTTCTAGAACCAGGAGGCAGCCAGCAGAGGTGTCGATAGCTAATTTGTGGCCTGTTAGAGTTTACGCTTGTTTACCAGCATTTAAGTAGACAAGACATTGATGCTAAGACAGTGGGAGGGAAGTGTTTTGAGCCAATCGTGTGTCTTGTCAGAAAATTAATTTGACTCTGGCCTTCTTTATACCCCGAACTGCAGAGATAATCTGGTACGGAAGGGCCGGCACTGCTGAAATGAAATCAGTGCCATGGAGGAGTCAGCAGCTCCTTCAGCACAGACCCAGTTTAGTTTTAATTTAAGGCTCATGCTGGGCATCTACCAAGTGCCTTTTATCACTGAAAATTTTAAAAGAAACAATGTTTCCTGACATAAATTTCTCTGCTAATGACAAAGACCAGAAGTAGCTTGTGGCCAAAGAATAAATGTTTTTCAAAAGCTTAGCAACAGCTCACGCACTGAATGTCATCATCTCCCTCTGAGGGATAGCGCTGTGTTGTCAGGATTATGTGAAATTATCCTGAGCGCTGCATGCCATGGGTTTTTTCAGCGGCGCATCTTATCTTTCTGTCTGAAGGTCAATTGAGAATTACCCATCCTGTTTTTGCTCGTGAATAGAGGCTACGATAAAAAGTCAGGAAGCGCTAGCTGTAATTATTTATTATTAATAATACTTATTATTACTGCATTTTTGAAAAGCAACCACCAGCTCACAGGATTTAACTCTATATGCAGAGACAGCAGTGCATTTGGCAGAACCGATGGCTGCAGATGCCTGCAACACTGCCTGGCCCCGGGGCCAAGTTTGCTTCTCAGCTGCTTCCATCTCCTTCTGCAGTAGGTGCTACCGCGGTGGTTTCGGATTTGCACAGGAGTCAGTTAAGGCACAAGCTGGTCCAATGCAGAGCACTGAGCCTGAACCATGAGCAGTCCTCCCTGTAAAATGTTATTTTTATAAAACAGCCACAGCCACCTGCAGAGCTGGGACGGACAGGGCACGGAGCCGCTCTGGTTTTGCGCTGCAGACTCATGCAGACATAAAGCTGCTCACGTTTCTAAGCTTCCCCTTAACTTTATGAGGGCAAGAAAAGTTTTAACAGCAGCTGGGAACTTCCAAGCACCACACCGAGTGGCCAGCAGACAACGCACTTATTGTATTTGTTCTTATTGCTGCTACTGGTGTTGACAGTGATAACACAAGTGATTATCAGCAGCAATGTTTGTCCTTCTTCAGTATCGTTCATCTGCTCTCCAAGTTGCCCACAAGTGGCTTTCCAGGTTTATTGTGACTGTGTGCACTAAGAGACCTGGCACAGGACCGTGATGCCCAGAGCTGCCCAGCCCTTTGAGCAGTCCCTACCAGGGGCTCAGATGAGTGACACCCACATCGGTTTCCATTGCTTTGACATCTCTCCAGCGCTAATTAAAACCTGGAGTGCTGCTGCTTTTATTTCATTTTCTTGCTTAGAACCACGAAGGGCTGTTTTTCTAACAGCAGACCGTGTTTTTTCAGACCTGGGTCCCCTGCAGGGTCCCTCAGACTGAAGCCAAGAAAAGCGCCTCGGCGGCACGCGATGTTCTGGACTCGCGTTCCCCCTGTGAACCAGCAGGAATTTTAAATGAGCATCTATTCATATGTCTATCGGTACTGGATTAATTAGTAAATAATCATAAGCATTCTCCTCTCCTCGCTGTTGTTCTTCTGTGATTAGAGGGCTATCGCTGCTTCAAAATGGTTGCCTGAAAAGCCCTGCAGCAGAAAAGCTCAGCACCCAGCAGCAGGTCCGAGTGCCACGTGATGACTTCTGTCAGCAACTGGGTCTGAAATCCACGCTTTAATCGGGGCTGGGATCCTACCGAGTAAGCCCCCTGGCTACAGCCCAGCAAAGCACTTAGCGGGTGTTCCCCCTTACGCACATCAGCGGACCCTTGACTTCACTGGGCCTTTGGGATCTTGATTTTAAGCACACGCTGAAACACTTCTCACTGAAACACTTCTGAAGGGGTGCCAGCACGATGCCAAGCACCAGCACCTTGCAGGGTGAGTGCTCAGCACAGGCTGGGGCTCTGCACGCCAGACCCTGCACACCCAAAGGGGCTGCACCACACCAGGCAGCCCCCAGCCCCCCCACCATGCCCCTGGGAGCAGGCTGCCAGCAGGGGCTCCTGGAAATAAGCAATCACAGGAGTTCAGCTAGCAGATTTACCAGGTCCTTTCCTGCATGTTTGAGCGCTTTAGATGATTTATCTGCTCAGAAAAGGATTATTTTTGAGCCTCCCTTTGCCAAAAATGTAAGCCTTATCAAATGGAAATCAGAATCCATTCTTCGGATCAGCAGCCTGGATCAAAGCTGAGGTGGAAAGGAGGTCACAGGAAATGCAGACACTTTCATGAATATTTGCCTTGCTGCTTCTTAAGCTTTACCTCTGAAGGTCTGATCTCAGACAAGCCAAGTGCCTTTGCACCCCACTGCCCGCTTCCAGCTCCTAACAAAGGCAGCAACACAGCCAAAGCAATGTGAAAGTGTTAATTTGGCTTCTCTAAGATATTACTTGAAAATGGCTTTTCAATATTTTGCAAACATTGAAAAACATTAACACATGTGATCAATATTCAGCTGGTCATTGTAGTAGCAGGTCAAAAATTTTGGTTGTCTGCATCACTTCTAACCCAGAGCAGTTTATTCCTCAGCCAGCTTCATGCAGATGAAGGTAGTATCTCAGGCAGGAGATTCACACAACAAGAACAAAACACAGAAAAACTTCAACATTTTGAATATGGAGAAAAAAAGAACTTTGTATGCCCCCCTCCTTTTCTGCCATTGGCAGAAATACAAAGAGCTGTTTCCCTCTCAGCTGTGTGTTCTGAGAAACTGGGCAATGTCTGCAAACTCAGAGTTATCCAAATAAGAAGTGCTATAAAATTGTGAGGTTTCATCAATACCAAACCCATCATTTGATTGAACTCTATTTGAATGCTATTACATGGATTTATTGCTTGCCATTTAAACATTTCCTATGTTCCTATTTATACTGGCTTGTATTATCCCCTACTACATCATTCCAGGTTGTGCTACTTTTTGCACATTATTTCTCAAACAGAGAAATAGTACAGCTAAAAACGCATTATCTAACATTTATTATGGTAGCTGAATGCTCATCTTTCCAACTAATTTAAAAATGAGTTTGTGTAACTTCATTCCCAGGTGAGCAGTAAGAATTTCCATGCTAAAAGGCTTCTTGGTCAGAAAAATGTGAGCAGTGATTTCTAAAAGTGAAAAAGCTCTTTTTTCACTTGCTAGTCCTGTCACCCACTACAAAACCAGAATTACTAATCTGTTTGACCCTGGATCTTGCTGTGAGCAAAGCTGGTCATATTTAAAAGATGTGTCTTGGTTAACCTTATTCCTGCCTGTAACAGAAATAAAATTGTGTTCAACTCCACTACACTGAAGTTAGCATATTTGATGATACTGCACATTTTCCCAGCAGAGATGAAAGCCCAACAGTTCACTTGTTACACAAGCTAGAGGAATTGTGTTTTCACCATCCGCACCATCTTCAGACAGTTTATCACTTTGACAAGTCAAGGGAGTGGAACTTGCTCTGTGGTTAGAGCCAGGGAGAGCACGGCTCCTTCCCGGTTCTGAGCCCCAGCTGGAGAAGACCTCTAACAGCCAACTCCAGGAGCATCCCCACAGGCTGTGGTATGTTGCCTGCTGGGATGGAGTTGTAGGACTTGGTTAAAAATACCCCCTCTAGAAACTTGTGTTGGTAGTAAGCCAGGAAAAAAAGAATTAAGGACAAAGTCTGCTTTTCACTTTTCTTTCAGAAACTGAGGATCTTACAAACAAGCAAGCATCCCTTAGCTGTATCCCAGGAAAACATCTGAATATCCAAAAAATCCCCTTAATAAACTGATCTTCCAGCCTGTTAGGAAGTGAGATCTCCATCACGCACATAGGATCCAATAGAGGTCACGAAAACCCCCTGCTCCAAAACACGTTCACACAAATATTCTTTCTGAGCTGCCTGAGAAGCTTAGAGGAAGATCTCCCATTCCTAAAGAACTTCATTTAACACTGGACTATCCAAAAATACTAACTTAATTTACCTTCAGGCTATCAGCTCTTTCTTCTGCTCTGAGCAAGTTTAAGATAATGCAGCAATAAAAACCCTCTTTGATATCAAAGGTCCGCACCGAGGATTTAGATCTGAATTCCAGGTTAGCCCTTAATGACACACACATGCACACCAAAAGCCTCCCCTTCAGCCAGGGGACTACATCCCACTAAGAGCAAGGCAGAAATAATGATCTTACCGTATTCAATAATTCAAAAAAAAAATCCGATTAAGCATGCATACTAGGTACAGAATTTGTCTGCAAGTAACATTACGTTTAATCTGTTCCAAGATAAGAATAAATCTGTTTCTGCCTACCAGCAGTTTCCTGTACACCAAGGGGTTTGGTTAAGACAAGTGGGGTTGGAACTAACCTCACACACGGCAGCACGGCCGGCGATGCACACAGAGCAGGGATGGAGGCAGGTGGGCACAGCACGAGGCAGACACAGCCCCAGCAGAGCCCAGGAGGGGAGCAGCAAAATCACACCCATAAGGAATGGCCCTGCCTGGCCACAGGCACAGAAACAGCAGGCACAGAGCTTGTGGGGCAAAGCTCCCAGCCTGGGCCTTTTATCATCTCCCTCCCAGCCCAGCTGGTGCTGTAACACAACGATCTCACCTGGTGAATAGCTCAGGAAGGCAGGTGGGACTAAAAAAAATAACGCAAGGCTCTTGGCTTTTGATGGCCATCCCTGCCATGCTCTGTTATGCACCTGTGTCAAATCCTAACAACTGAGAGCAGCAGTTTTCAATTCCCTTTTGCACAAAAAATGAGTGACCGAGGTGCAGGCCCTGGGTGGAGCAGCCCTCGCATCCTTCGATGCAGCTGCAGGCTCTGAGCAGTGGTCAGCTGAGCCGCGATGGCCTCCCTGCCAGATTTCTCCTCCCTGCCCCCATACCTCCTAATAATAAAAAGGAATCATGATAGTGCAGGATTCATTCCCCAGACAATAGTGAGGCAGGCTGTATATTGCTTTATGGCTGTTGACTTGATTTAAAATGCACTCTTAAAAATGAAAGAACAACTCCTTAAATTTGCAGTAAATGTATAGTTCCACAGATCTGATTTACTGGTTATGAGCCACCAAAGAATTGCAATTGCAATTTATTGTATTGTTGACTCTAGCAGCGAAAACCTCAGCATCACTGTAGCTTTGGAAACCATGAAAAACCTGACCGTTTTAGATTAATCATTTATTTCAGGTTGGTTGTTAGTTTTTTTGTTGTTGTTTTGTTTTGTTTTCTTTTCTTTTCTTTAATTGGTCCCTCATCTTCCAGGGGATAACGACGATTGCTTTGATGGTGACTGTTTAACCCAACGTGTGTGAGATCAAAGGCGTGCAGTTGGCTTGTGCTTTGCTCAGTTCAGAGCGTTTTAGCCTTGGTTGACTCATAATTGCAAGAATTCCCAACTGGCTGGAAGTGGAAGGAACTTGCTGCAGAGCACCAGGCACAGCACGAGGTGCAGGAACCTGCCTGGGCTGCAGCACACAGCAGAGCAGCAAGGAATCCATCTGCTTGCACAGAGCTCCTCGCTGTGAGCCCACTGTCCTCATTTCCCTCGCACCCTTGCCAGCAGTGAACGTGCTGCTCAGTTGCTCAGCACAAGCACAAGGCACAGCCTCAGCACCAGCCTGAGCACCGGCACCGGCTCCCAGCACGAGAACCGACAGAGGCAAAACACGCTGCAGGTTGCAGGCGGTGCAGCTGAACCGCTCTGCCTCTGTTCTCCTGAAGGCACAAACAAAGGCGAATCACGTGCAGCACTGTCTCACACGCAGCCTCTAACACGCAGGCACACGAATTCATTTCTCTGCTCCCGCAGCACCGCTTGCTGCCGCTACCGCACCTGCCGGCTCCAGGCAGCCCCGCGCTCACCGCGTTGCTGGCCAGCTCGCCCTCATGCACCTGGCTGGCCTCATCCCTAATTGGGAATGTGAACGCTAGACTCTCGTTACTTAGGTGTCTGGATGTTGATAACGTGGAATATGGCCAATTAAGCGCAGTCCCTGATGAGCTGCTGCAGGGAGCAGCATCGCAAACCGGCATTTTTGCCTCACCGTGCGAGGCGGTACGCACGGGGCGGGGAAGGGAAGGCTGCACAATAAACTGACCCCGATCCAGTATCACCGCTGTCCTTCAAGGGTCTGTTCCCTCTACTACCATGTGTGATCTTTTCTTGATTCATTAAGGTCTGCTGAGCAGAAAATTTTGCAGCTGCTGGCTAGATAGCAGCGCTGCTGGACAGCATCCACGGCTCTTTCCTCTTTCCTTTTGGAAAGAAGCGGCAGAATGCAGCTGCCTATGAGGCTTTATTTCAGGTTGGAAAATCTCCAAACACAGAGGGGAAAAAAACTGAGCAGGCTGTAAATCAGAGATGGCCTTGAACCAAACCCCACGGGTTCCCAGCACCCGTGGGCAGTGACAAACTGCAGCCGAGACAAGGACAGGGTCTGTCCATCACAGCCACACCACTGATGGACATCTGAGGGGCTCCGAGGACCCCACGAGGATGCAAACAGCACCCCTGGAAACTCTGCAGTGCTCCCCAAAGTGCAGCTAACGCAGGCTCCAGTCATCCTAAACAAGTCCCCCAACCCTTAAGAACTCCCAACACTGAACTTTCTTCAAAAGGTGCTTGAAAGTTACTCACGTTTTCCTGCAGGGCTTTCCTAGGCTAAAACCAAGGCAGCTTTTCCTATATCAAAATAAAATTTTCACTGGAAGTGTGATGATAAAAACAATTTAGATTACCCTGTAATGAAGAACATTTCTGCCTCTAAAGTAGAAAACAGCACTTTTTTTTTTCAATCTGTACAAACTTAAAGCAACTCCATGGTCTCTCAGGAATTTCAAATTTATGGATGTTTTTAAATTTATTTACTTTAACATATATAACCCCTTTCGTTTTATAGCCTGTCTCAGCTATGACAGCATGGAAACAGCTCTTTCTGGAGTATAGGCACACCGTAACTGGTAAATGATAGTCAACACAGCCGAAAACATGGAGCAAATTTATATCTGCTGCATGAAACGGGTGGCGATGTGGCCGAGGAGGGAGCCCAGGAGGGGGCTGCAGGGAAGGGGCCAGCCCCCAGCACTGCCTTGGCAGCGGCAACTCCTGAGCGAGATCCTCGAGCTCCTTCCCCTGCCACGCCTGCAGCACAAAGGCGTCTTAAAGAAAATGACAGATATTTTGTACTGGATTGATCGGACGAGATCGGAAGCGCCTCGCGCCTTGCCTCATTCCCTCTGACTGCCTATTTTGTGCACTTAGGTGCTGCGGCGAGAAGCCCGCTATTAATCCTGGGGGGCGGACAGGAGGGGAGGTGGCTGGCTGGAGGTCTGGAGAAGCGCCGGAGTGATGGATAGACAGACAGACAAACTAAATCACCGGTACACTTTGATAAAAGTGATTTCCTTCCGGAATTTATAGCACTTTATAAATACTTGCACAGCCTGATAAAGCACTTCTTCGCAGCAAATGTTATCACATTCCTTCTCGAGCTGGGAGCTGGGAAGGCAGGGCTGAAGAGAGTTAGCCAAGGTCTGGAAGAGTTTTGAGAGAAGTGGTGAGATCCGAGCAGCTGTGTTTTCCAGGTTCTTTCAACCAGCACAGCACATATATAATTTTAAGGTTACCAAGACTGACCCTTTAGCATAATCTTATTAATGATCTTTCTTTAATCTATGCAGGCATTTTCACAAGCTTGGATCCAAAGCAAGGAAACTGCTGGCACAATCTATAGGACATAATGAGACTACAAAGCTACAATGTTACGGCAAGCTGTAATTTCAAGCAGCCAAGCTAGCTTTATTACTGCCACTGTCATTACAGAATGCTTATACAGCATGGCCGTGAAGTCAATGAGATATTTAGATGCAGAATTAATGCAGGATAGCGCCCAGCGTAAAGAACAAACACAATAAATAAAACACACTGGGGAAGCACAGGATATAAATACAGAAGAAAATGGCAGAGCAAAAAGAAGATGCAAACTATATTTAAAATTGATATTTAATCCGCATAGCTCATTCCAGTGGCTTCTCTGCATATGCAGCTTGTTTTAATGCTAGCAGGTTCGACTTTTCAGTAACAGAATGCTAAAAAGTTGTTCAAAAAGTTTTAATAAAATGCTTAATTGGTTCATTAGAACCTAAAGAGATATTCCTAGAAAGCAAGAGAGAAAGGGAAAAGCAGAAAAAGAGTGAAAGAGACAGAGGGAGAGAAGATGCAAGCAAAAGAAGCAAAGAAAAAGAGAAGGAAAGAGAGGAGAAGGAATATTTTCACATCAGACTATTTGCAGCTAGCTTGCTTTTGACTTTCAGACTCTATTTAAAAATACAAAATTGGGAGCATTAAAAAAGAGTTCCCAAATTAGCTTTTTAATAGAGATCGAAAGTTAAAAGGGGGCCGAGTCATGGGGGAAAAGCTATTCAGGATCACAGCCAGGCCAGAGCTCGCAGAGAGGGAGGCCAGAGCACGCCTGGGCGAGAGCAGAGAGGCAGCTTTATGAAGCAATGACATTGGAAATCACAGAAAAATCTTTTATACCAGCTAAAGCCAAATGACATTTCTGGTTTTACTTTCTTCTGGGCATCTGCAAGAGGCAAAGAGCAAGTGGAGATACGGGAAGCATTTTTAAGGGTAAAGTTCTGAAGCCGTTTAGCAAAGACGGATTTCGGGCCCTTTGATGTGCCTAAATGCATCCAGCCACCCAAAGTTTCCCATGGAAGTTTTAGGACTCACTTTGTACGCAGCTCTGCATGTGCAGTTACAGTGCCTGTACTCTAACAGTTATAACACAGCTTCTGCCTGACCTCCTCACCTGGCCCGAAGGGACTGAAACACAAACAGTGGTGCGGGGAATTGTTTTGGGGGACGACCACCCGTGACCTGCCATCCAGAAAACCGTTTGGTCTTTAATAATACTGGCAGTGACTTATCGGGGATTAGGGGATGCTGAGGCAGAGGACCGATGGGTCGGGGGGGTGCTCTCAGCTTCCAGGTTGTATTTCCCAGTCGGAGAGCCGAGGTGTGTGAGGATCTGTTGGTCGGTTGGTGGGTTGGCTGCGTTTGTTTTGGTTTGTTTTGGTGTGTTTGGTGCTTGTGTGCGAGTTTTAAATGGAATTCGGGCCCGTTTTAGGAGCCTGTTACAGCACCGCCGCACGAAATCCCCGGGAAGCTGCCCCCGCTCGCTGCCGCCACCGCACGGCCCCGTTCCCCGGGGCTCCTGCACGGACCCCCCCCACAGCCCACCCGGCTACCACCGCCCTACCGGGGGCTCCGCGGACACCCCCGGCCGCCGGGACCGGCCGGGGAGGGGGACACGGGGCGAGGAGACCCCCGGCTCTGAACCCCCCCGGCCCTGAGACCCCCAGCTCTGAGCCCCCCAGCTCTGAGCCCCCCCGGCTCCGAACCCTCCCGGCTCCGAGCTCCCCCCAGCGCACCCCGGCGCCCCCGGCTGTGCCCCCCCTCCCGGAGCTGTCCGCAGCCCGCGGTGCTGATGCCGCCCCCCCCGCCCCGCCCCGCGCCCCCCGCCCCGTTCCCCCCCCGCGCCCGCCCCCGCGGCTCCGCGCTCCCGGCAGCCGCATGGCAGCGGCGGCGCTCGGCGAGCGGCCGCGGCCGGCAGCGGCGGGGCGAGGAGCGGCGCCGAGCGGAGGAGGTGAGGTGGTGGTGGTGGTGGTGGTGGGGGGGGGGACACCGGGATGCTGGAGGGGACGGCTCGGCTGCAGGCGGGGCCGGGGGGTGGGTGGGGGGCTCGGGGTAGGAGCGGCTCTGCCCCCGCCGCGCCCCCGTCCCCTCCTCCCGGTGCCCGTGCCCGGGGTGCGCTCGGTGCCGCGGTCCCTGCCCCGCGCTGCCCGGCACGGCGGGGCTCGGCCGCTCCGCTCCCGGATTTGGTGCGGGGAGCCCCGCCGGGAGCCGGGCGAGGATGCCGGCACCGAGAGCCGGGAGCCCGACTCCTGGCCGCGGCTGAGAGGTGCCGAGGCGGCGAGGAGCGGTGAGAGCGGAGCGGGGCGAGAGGGCAGCGGGGGGACGGGTGGGGGGACAGCAGCGAGGGAGAGGACCCGCTGCCGGTGCTCCAGCCCCCGCCGAGGGCTGCCGTGGGCTCCCGGGGCCGGGGAGCGGCTCCCATCCTCGGTGCTGCCCGGCCCCGCTGCAGCCGGGCTGGGGCTGTCGGGGTCCGGCTGCGCCTCGCCCCCTGCCCCTGCCCTGCCCCCGGGGCCGCTCCGAGGGCAGGGGGCGGCCGGGGGCGGCACTGGGGGGGGGGGAGCAGCGGCGGCTGGAGAGGCTGGGGCTCGGCTGCGATGAGAGAGCAGCTGTTTAGTCATCTCTCTATATATACTTCCACGATGATGATCGCGTTTTCTGATCGCTTCTGACTGCGTTTAGAGAGGGAGCCGAGAGGCAGGCAGCGCGGCTCACCTTTTAGCCGGAGGAGCGACTGCTCCCCCTCTTCCTCCCCTTCCTCCAGCTGCCCAGGCTCAGCCCCGCTCCGGGGCGCCGAGCATCCTCCCGGCCAGGTAAGGCGTCCTGCGAGCAGGGTGCGGGGAGAAGTTGGCGTGCCTTCATCCTAAGCCTGTTGCTTTTGCCCCCAGATCTCTCCAGCTGGCTGAGGGAGCCAATGCTTTGCAGAAAGTTTTATTATCTGATGTGGCTGGGAAGGGAAAGGAATATGTGACCGAAAGAGGATATTGAAGCTCTGACATATTTTGCTTTTAAGCAAGAGCATCTTTGCTGTCTGAGCCTGACCCAACAAAGGATAGAAAAGGAGAGAACGAACGGTCTGAAGGCTCCTCGCCCCCCTTAGCATTGCGTCTCATCGACAAACTCACATGCTTATCAGTCATTTTAAATCATCCCGGTCTGCTTCCAGAAAGGGAGACACGATGAGATTTTTATTTTGCTTCTGGTTTTGTGAGCTTCTGAAGAGGCACTTATTAAGTATGGCATTGCCAGTGGAAGTTAATGTGGTAAGAACCCATCGCTTATTTCTTGACCCTTTAGGTAAATAGAAATGACTGTTCTCTAAAGTTTTCCTCCAGAGCTGTATTGATCTAGCAGTGCATGCCAGGTTTTTGTTTTGAAACTGGGATCAAACCACGGTGGCAGCGAAGCCAGCTGGCGCTGCGACAGCCAGAGGTGGTCGGGAGGCAGCAGCCGGGGTTGGAGTCCTGGGGAGCTGGAGGGGTCAGGGCACAGCTTTTCTGTCAAAGTATCCGGAGTAAAAGGATCATTTTCTTCACAGATGCTGACTTTAAGTCAGAAGGAAGCAAATTGTTTTGTGTACCAGGTCTTCTAAATGGCACCAACAGGCAACCGATCTTTTGTTAACTAGTTCCTTCCAAATTACATGTTGAAATTACAGTAATTAAAATTCAAAATGTGTGTGTAGGCAAATACATGCTTGTTAGAACTGAAGCGTGTCTGTTTCCTACGCGAGCTGAAGAGACTCAGTCAACTGTACGGTATATTTTGAGCCCAGGCAATTGCTCTCCAACCTGAAGAGAATGGGTAGCAGTTACCGAAACCCAGGCTTGGTGTGCAGAAAAGGAGGCTTCTTTCCATATTTTATGGATAAATTTTTTAACTCTTTGTTGTTGTTGTTTCCTTGTTTGTACCTAGCGTGGTTCGTGCAGCTCTGAATTCCAAATCCAGTCCTACCTCTTTTAATTTTGTCTCATTTTGGGGCAGGGTGGAGTTTCAAAGATTCGTGGATAAGAAAACGCAAAACCTTTGTGATAGGAGATTTGATTATTCTTCTCCCTCTCAGTCCTTCCTTACAGGCACCCAGTTTACAGCTGGAAAAAACATGTATTTTTGAGCATTTTGAGGATCAAAAGGGGCAGATTAATGCAACTTTGAAAATGAAGCACTAAGTTTTCTTAACCAGCTGCATTTCTTTGTCACAGAGAAATGGGATCTAAACTTCTATGAAGAATACCCTTCTCTTTTGTTTCAGTCTCCTGTCCCTTTCATGGCTAAGTTATTTATAGCTTCCCCACACATACTGCTAGCATAGAAAGACCCATTTTATCTTTAAAAATTGATTTAAAAACGTGTAAGTCACTTATGAGTTACCAGTGCTTTATTAGAACAATTATATGTGAAGTATTTATAGTGCCTCAGCAGCTAATGTAGGTAACCTGGAATTTACAACCAAAGTTATAAGTACAGAAGAGATTTCTAATAAGGTTCCCCAGAGAAATCAGGGAAGATGAGGATCCAGTGTATTGTAGCTGCTCAGGTCACTGTACATCGCCAATCAGTCCTGGTAGAATGGCTGTGCTGGTGTCGCTAATTGAAATTAAAAAGCACAGAAGACAGTTTACCAGCAGGGAAATTAGGGACAGGATGCATTATCTTTGTCTCTTCGCTGTTTGCCTGTGTATATTCAGTGGTTAATGAATGGGATGGCCGTCACTTCGCTGCCTCCTGTTTTGCAGTCCTGTTCTTAACGCAGTGTTTCATAAAAGTTAAAAATCCACCACTGCTGCTAAAAGAAATCGGCAGCTCTGCTGCCTAAGCCCCTGGAGATTGCCTTCCAGCTAAAGACTCAGGCATGTTTTCAAAGTAGTGCAGAGAAAGTTTGCAGTGCTGTGCTCTGGCTCTTCCATGGAAAAAGGATTCTGGTCTCCAGGGCTGTCAGTCTGGCACGATTGATGCAACAAATTCGCTCTTTAGGAGAAGGAGAAAAAATAGTGCATAGTAATATTGAACAATCCTTTATAGCAAAATGTTGTGGGATATTGGCTTGGTGTATAAGCAAAGTGTCTCCTTGGGATAAGCATCACTATGGATTATTGTATGCTTCATAATTACAAAACCTCTTCCAGCAGCAGTAAGATGCTTGCACGAGGGATTTCAGTTGTCCTTTAGATAGTAAAATTGCTCAGAAAGATGCTCCACATTAAGGTGATGAATGTTAATGTGTCCTGAGGAGGAAGAGCATTTCTGGGAGCAGTTCAGTCATTTTCACCACAGATTGATTCCATCATTTTTTATTCAGTATTTTGATGGCTGTTGAAATCAATAATGCTGCAGCCTTACTGGCTGGAATGGCAGCTTTCATATAATTAAAAAAGTTCAGAGTAAAATCGCATAGAAGGCTATCATGTAGAGGATATAATTAGGCTTTGAGGGCCTGAGTCAGTGGAATCAATGGAATCTCCATTGATAAATTGACTTTTGATAGGGCCCCTAATGCATCTTATATGATAATGGTACCTTTCTCCAGACAATTTTATGGTAGAGTTTGAAAAACATAAGGGAAGTAAGAGTAAATATGAGTTAAAACACAAGTTAAATATTCTAGGAACCATCACCAAAGACCAAAAAGAAAAAGAAAATTCATGGCCAGATCAGAACCACAAATAAATGCTATAATTTCAAGAGAACGTTGATTTCCAGTGGCTGAGGATCTGGACAACTTGGGATATTTTTCGTCTAAAAATCAAGAGTGCATTGAACATATTTCACTTCAGCCTAATAGTCCTTCAGTTCTTAGCCTGAAGGACTTCTGTCTCTACCTGCTAGGCAACAGCCAAGGTATCTTCCTGCTGGAGGAAACCTTGGGTTTGGAGGCTTCCCCGTTCTGATTTTCTTGGTACTCAGCTGGTAGCATAATCCAGTGTGCACATCCTTCACCGACACACGTCCCTGCTGGAAGGTCCGTAAACTTGCACACGTGGGATTCAGCCTACAGATGCTCAGATATTCTGAGCAACATTCCTGCAAAAGTCAGAATTTTCCCCTGGGCCAGTGGAGGGTGCAAGATTTCACAACACTAAAACACATCCCTAAATCCAAGAGAGCAGCAAAATACTGCTGCTGAGCCCAGGTCTTTAATTAAAGGTGGAAGAAAATTAATGAAAACCAGAGAAGATTTTGTGCTTCTTTCAACTGACGATGTTCAGGGTCATTACATATCGAACTTTGTTAAGACTGGAAGCCCAGCTCAGGCCAATAGTGGCTTTTCATGACATGATTTCGCTGGGTGAACTGCAGGCTGATTTCAGTGGAGCTCCCAGCTCTTTCTTGACAGCTGTAGTTAAATGGATGAGCACACGAGACTTACACCTGGGGAATCACGGATTAGTCTTGTTTGTAAGGAAGCAAATATAAATTACTGTGTTTATGCTACTTTTAAAATGCTTTTAATGAGGAATCATTTGCTATTCAAAATTTCAATCCATAATAATGCCATAACCTCGCTGAGCTGATTATCATGTGCCTTGTTTAACATCATTCTTCAAACAGGAGATGAGGGCAAGCTGGTTGTTCTAAATTCTTGTGTACGTGCTGATCTATAACTCTAGCACAACGGAGCAAGACACCCTGCCTGACTTCGTGTTGTGTTTGGTTTTGTTCTGTGTTGCAGATGGAACTGATCTGACTTGGGACAGGTCTCCGAAGCAGCCGAAGTGTCTTCTCCAGTAGCAAGGCCTGGGGTCAGCATGGCAGCAGGGGTGGCAGCGTGGCTGCCCTTTGCCAGGGCAGCTGCCATAGGATGGATGCCAGTGGCCAACTGTCCCATGCCACTGGCTCCCACAGAGAAAAACAAGAGGCAGGACGAGCTGATCATTCTCAACGTGAGTGGCAGGCGGTTCCAGACCTGGAGGACTACACTTGAGAGATACCCGGACACTCTGCTGGGCAGCACCGAGAAGGAGTTCTTCTTCAACGAAGACACTAAGGAGTACTTCTTTGACCGGGACCCTGAGGTCTTCAGGTGCATCTTAAATTTTTATAGAACTGGCAAGCTGCACTATCCCAGGTACGAGTGCATCTCTGCCTACGATGAAGAGCTTGCCTTCTATGGGATCCTCCCTGAAATCATCGGGGACTGCTGCTACGAAGAGTACAAGGACAGAAAGCGGGAGAACGCAGAGCGGCTGATGGATGACAATGACTCAGAAAACAACCAAGAAGGGTCCATGCCATCCCTGAGCTTCCGGCAGACCATGTGGCGAGCCTTCGAGAACCCCCACACCAGCACCTTAGCCTTAGTCTTTTACTACGTCACCGGTTTCTTTATTGCTGTCTCTGTGATCACTAATGTCGTGGAAACTGTCCCTTGTGGCACGGTGCCTGGAAACAAGGAGCTTCCATGTGGGGAGAGATACGCTGTGGCTTTCTTTTGCTTGGACACGGCTTGTGTGATGATTTTCACAGTAGAGTATCTGTTGAGACTCTTTGCGGCCCCAAGTCGCTACAGGTTCATCAGAAGCGTGATGAGCATCATCGACGTGGTGGCCATCATGCCATACTACATTGGCTTGGTGATGACCAACAACGAGGATGTCAGTGGAGCCTTTGTGACACTAAGGGTTTTTAGGGTTTTCAGGATTTTCAAGTTCTCTCGCCATTCCCAAGGCTTAAGAATCTTGGGCTACACTTTGAAGAGCTGTGCCTCCGAGCTTGGCTTTCTCCTCTTTTCCCTCACTATGGCAATTATCATCTTTGCAACTGTGATGTTTTATGCAGAGAAAGGGTCCTCAGCAAGCAAATTCACCAGTATTCCTGCTTCCTTTTGGTACACTATTGTAACCATGACAACACTTGGGTGAGTATTACTTTTTCTCTTACTGAGCAGCAGGCAAGCATGTACTGGGAGCTTGACTTCAGTTACTCCTAAGCATTTTTCTGGGTGCATGTTCCAGAAGGGAATGGAATTGTTAAGGACTTGTTTGTTCTTTGCCTGACAACTTCTGGATTTCATGCTTTTGAAAACCTGAATAAAACAGAAAAGGTACTTAAACCCACTTGACAAATGCTTGGCACAATGGTAGATGGATGCAGGAGAAGCAGGGCTGTGAACAGTAGGTCCTGTTTTGCACTCATTTTGAAGCAAAGATAACATGAGTGGAAGGCAGTTGGCAACTGGAGCTTGTGGGTTTTTTTTTTTCAGACATTCATTTGAGCCGTAGGTTTTACACAAAATTGCTGACGTATGTTTTGTCTCTTCTCACAATGTCGGTCACAGTTTCTTTGCTTGACATGCCAGGAATTACAGGTTGCTGAATTCAAATGGCTGTTTTGGGTTGCTATGCTCCTGAAGATGCTCAGTGGTCTCCAGGACATATATATATATTAAAAAAATATATATTTTACTTAATTTAGCAACGAACAGGCTTCTTGTCTGTGCTAAGTGCTGAGTTTAAACACTAATAGGAGTATGCTACAGCAGTTGCACTAGAATTTCAAACACTCCTACGGACAGGTACAGAGGTAATGATATAGTCAAAGCAACAGATATGTAGCCTGTAGGGCACTGTTTTTTTCTATTTCATTTCTGTCTCACAGATATTTCTACTGAAATTATAGATTTGTGCTTTGAAAACCTTTGTCGGAATGGCCAACCCCTCACCCTGACAGGGTTACGTTAAAGAAAGTAGGCAATGCCCAAACTTTATAGCTACTTTGCAAAGAGTTTTCCCACCGGGGAGTTCACACAGCTCAGCACTCAGATGTAGACAATTCTCATCCCTGTACTATGGTGACAGGAATGACCACTTCTTCTCTAAGCTGCTTTTGATTTTAAACACTTCTCTGTGCCTATTAGGCATGGACAGGCTCACAGTAGCACTTTTAAATTATTAAAATCATAATTCAGCTGTCAGAAAGGCACAGAATCTGAGCATGTGACAACTGCAAGTCTGAATTTCTTCATTAAAAGAAAATGTGGATGTTTGTCATAGTCACTGCAAGATTTTCTGGTTTCTGTTTAACAACGACTGCACCTATCTTTCTGCCAACACACACGTGTACATCGTTATACCTTTGCCACAAGAAAGTTAGGGTCAAGGAAACACTCAGGGTTGCTTGGGAACAAAACTTTGTTGTAAAATACATGCAGAATGTGCTCTAGAGTGCAAATAAGTCCCTGTTCCCGTCTGTGTGGTGACTTGGTCTCGTTCTCTTTCCCTTCCTTTCTGAACACGCGGGTAGAGAAAACTGAGTGCTCCTGAGGACTTGAAGTGTCCTCAGTACACTGCAATCACCGAAATTATACATGAACGAGTGCTTTAAATGAGTTGACAAGAATTAAAAAAAAAACAGACGTTTAAACAGAGCTTTTAAGAGTTCATTGGAAAGGGACGTATGAGGAGCTATCCAAGCCTTAAACTTAAACTTGTGGTCTTACTGATTTGGGGCGCTTTGTTGCAGGATTTTCACTAAAAGAGGTGTCTCCAGCACACAGTCTGTCAGCTCAAACTGTGTCATTCTCACAGACTTATGAGATGTACAGAGACCTGGGCGATACCAGCCCCTGAGGAGAGCCTGTGCTCTCCGACAGCCTCTGCCTGCCTCTGACCATGTTCATCGGGCACCGAGCACCTTCCTGACTGAGGACCAGAGGCCAAGCACTCTCTGCTGGCTTGCCCAAAACCCTCGCTAGACAGAGAAGTTGCTCCTCTGAGCTATCAGCCCCTATTCCTGCTCCCTGTGTCCCTCCAAGAGGCACGCTGGGGTGGCAGCAGTGCAGCCAGGTGCCCCCAGCACCAGCTCATCCCCGGCTGAGCTCCATGGCCCCGAAATGAATGAGCGGCAGCGATGAAACCTCCCGGCCCTGGGGCATCCCCATCTTCCTGCCTTGCACCCTGTGGTGTGGGCGGTTAACACCCCCTGCTCCCCTTCATCTGCCCATAAAACCTTTCCGCTTTTCCAAATTGGCATTTTCACCCAATATTTCATCTGCTTCTCTCTTCAGAAATCGTTTAAGTGTGTTTGGAAGGATCTTGTTCCTAATGAGAGCGCTGGCAATGCCCGTCTCGCGGAGGCTGCCAAAACCGCAGCCAGAGTCCCCCCCATGCTCCCTGCTCCATCAGACTTTGCCTCCTTAGCAGGTGCCCATTAGCAGCTTCCATTTCAGCCATGCTCAGAGCTTTTATAAATATCTCAAATATTATCTGCTATTTGTCTTTAAAATGTAGCCGGTATTTAAAACAAGAAATTATAAAGTGCAAGGGTTTTTAACTCAAATGCATACACACCTGTATATACATAAATATTTTTGTTTTGAACCCTGAAACATTTAAATCCAGATAATTGAGCATTTTCCTGACACTGTAATTTCTTTCTGTGACAGAGTGCTTTATAAAAGCGATTTGTAACCTGTAGGATAACTTTTCCCATGTTACCGAGACATTAAAAAATTAGCTCAATTTATATAAAAGGGAAAAGTTTACTTACTATGAGAAAACAAGGCTATCATTAGGAAAGCATTAACAGATGTTCCAGTTGACTAATGTTAATAATTAAAATAAAAAATCCACGCCAGATATTTGCTGCTGTAAATTAAATTCATTCAGTTGAAACCAAGGAAGCTGTGGTAGTTTGTCTGAGCTAGCCTCTGCGCTATAGCCTAGTACACGATAGTAATATAGAATTTTCCAAAAGGGTTTTTCCTCTGAGCAAAAGGCACAGAAACAACACTAAAAATGAAAATCCTTCAATTTTTTAATTTTATTTTTGTTTCTGTAGCTCAGAATTTCGCTCTGAGGTGTTCTCTCCCATCCTCCCGAGACAACTATTGCTCTGACTGTCCTGGCTCCTTGCAGTTTCGCATCAGCTTTGTTTCGGTGCAAGCCTGTTCATTTTGGAGGAGCCCTGCTCGTTCTCCAGGGCTGGAGGCACGTTCAGGGCAGGGCTGTTCAGAAGCCTGAGAGACGTGGCTGTGGTGCAGCAGCGAGCTCTGCTTCCCCCAGCCCCCCGCAGAACAGGGCCTTACCCTGCTGCTTCTCAGCCAGAGCTAAGTGGCCGTGTTACCGAGCATCTGAGTCATGATTCATATTAAATATATATACACCGTGATTTCCTGGGCTCCTGATCAAGCTGCCTGTCTTCCTGAAGCACACACGAGCACGGTTGTCCCATTACCACCACAAATAGGGCTGGACCTGGGCGCGCACAGCCCCAGAGCTCTCCTGCTGTGCCGCGAGGCAGGCGCTGCTCTGCCAGGTTCCTACAGACACAACTCGATTCCCAGATTGACCCATAAAGGAAAAGCAAGAAAATGCATTTCTTCTGGAGGGTGAAGCACCGCGTATAATAGAGTACGTGCAGCTTGTGGTGGCACTGCTCTGCGAATCGGGGAGAAATGACGGACAACTTGCCAGCTCCTTAGGTAGCTAACGGCCCAAGGAGAAAGGTACAACAGCTTTTCTGGAATGGGAAACAAAGCAAAGGAATTAAATTATACTGACCCTGCGTCTCTGATCCCTCTGCTGTGCTCATCAGCCCTGGTTTAACAGAGGCTGTTTTTAATTTAGCACGATTTAAATTTTGCTCAGGAGGTTTTATAATGAAAGCATTATTCTTGGGTGCATCTTAAATCAATCTGAATTACCGAAACAACTATTCAAAATTAATTCAAAACCAGCTATCCAATTCATGCAGAAACATTCTCCTCGAGAGGCCAGCAGCTACCCACCTTCTCTCCTGCCTTTGGTTCAAGCACCAGTCAAATAAACGTTTGATTTGCCACCCCCCTCCTTCTGCAGGAGGCCCTGGCCCCCCCAGCCCTCCGCCCCAGGAGCACGCTGCCAGTCCCCATCAGCAGCATTTCCGCCCCCCTCTTGCTTTTAACTACCTCGATATGCAGTAGCCATCAGTTTTACATCTATATCGAGACAGTTTAATTATCATAAATGGTGTTACTTTGTTCCCAGCCTGTTGTTTTTATTTACTTTTAAATGGAGTTTGATTTGGATGGGCCAGCCTCACACGTCCTCGCCCGCCGCCACGCATTGCAAACAAGGCTGCGGCGCTACGCCTCTCTCCTGCTGCTAAAGCCCAAACCGTTTTTGCCCAGAGCGCGTATTTTTCTAAGCTTTTTATAGCTGTTTTCATTTCACCTGACAACAGCAGTATGTTTCAGGCTCTCAGGCAGCATCTGCGACCTGCACCGTGGGCTCCAAATCCCAGCGGTGAGATCTGCAGCACCGCGTCTGCCTCTGCCCGCGCCCTGCCACGTCCTGAGGGACACCGGGGAGCCACAGCCAGGCCCTGGCCGGGGGTGCCCAAGCCCACCCCAGCCCCAGAGCGGGTGGCCCTAAAGCAGGCATTTTAGATAGCGTCCCTGATGGCATTTTAGAGCGTGCTGCAACCACAGGAGGGTGAAACACCTGTGTCACGGCCTGAGGGAGCTGTCAAGGAGATCTCAGCGCCCTTTGAATCATAAAACTATCAGTCTGGGGGACCAAAGAACAGAGATTTGTGATGGGTTTTGTTTGGGTTGGAGTTTAAGGCCGTGCTGCATGATTTTCTGTTGTGTAAGGAAGGCTGAGCTCCCACCGCTCACCACCCTCACGGTGGTCCTAGGAGAATCCGTCTTCTCCCTGGCCTCACTGATTTGCAAGAACAGCACGGTTTTGATCCCATGGTTTTGGGATCAGCACCCAGCTTTCAGATTCAGCTGCACTGGGCACTGAGTTGGAAAAATACACGGCGTGTGCCTGGACAACGCAGATGCATCTATAGCTTATATTCAAGGAACCAGGTTAACACTAGGGAGTCACTAAAACATGTGCTGGCCTAGCTATGTCAACAGCCTGACCTGGGGTGGGACTGGGAATTCCTTGCAGTTGTCATTATCGGGGTGCTTAGGGAGCTGGTGTTTGGGGGCAGGGGCCTGTTCAGGCTTATTCGCATCGTTCCGGCTGGCGCCCCGCGGGTGGAAAGCGGGGAGCGGAACAGCAAGGCAGAACTGACACTTGATCAAGAGTTTCTGAAAGAAACGATATTAGCTGTGTTGATTTCTTGGGCTATTTTATTGGTATTCTACCCTGGAGAAGGAACGGGATGAAATTGAAGCAGTGAAACGGGACGCGAGGCGCTTACTGCCAAGCGCTGACAGCTGGGCGAGAGCAGGCTCCCGGCGTGCTGACCGCATCGCTTGCAGGGGCTGCCAGCGCCGTGCGAGGAGATCTCTTTGCAGTTCCTCCTCCCGTGCAAAGTGCTGAAACCACTCGGGCTGATAATAACCTTCATTCACCCTCCTTCGTGCAAACTCAGAGGAGTTTGCAAAGTAAGGAAAACAATAAATCATCTCTGGAGCGCTGCCACGCCGGGTTCTCCGGAAAGATTGCAGCTTGGCCCCGTAATCACATTTTGCGTGTCACTACTTCAGTAACTGCCATTAAACCGAATCAGAAAAATTGCTTTAATAGAAATGCTACTTTGCATATTTACCATCATCAGTGGAAAGACAGATGAGATGTGGGGTAGTTCCTTTGTAAAGCAAGGCGCTAAAATTTCATCACTCTCACCACTTCCTACCCAGTCAACAATTCGTATATCCACAGGCCAGAGAATAGCTTGAATTTAATATACAGAAAGTCCAATCAAACAATGAATTGATGGAGCTACACAAAGAAGCCATTTTCCTGAGCTTTCATTCTCTTGACTCCAGCTTCATCTTATATGAAATGTGTATCAATTTTCTTCCCCTAATGGATTTACAGATATTGTGTGTGAAATGTCTTTGTATCAGAAACTACAGATGGAACCTTTTTCCTTCGCTATCTTGACGTAAATCTCAGGCAAGCATCTCATTTTTGAGCTATTTGTATTCACCAGAACCCCAGAAGTATTAAAATACCTTTACTCATTCTCATGGCAAGTAGAATTCACGGGATTTTTCTCCCTCTTAAAAAAAAAAAAAAGAGGGAATTTATTTATCCTTAGATTTTTTGTGGCTTTGGGTATTTGTAACAATTGCACATATGTGCAAATATCCCATTTTTAATAGGCAAGACAAAATAACTTTCCTTTAAGGTAAAGTCATTGTGTGAGAAGTAAATTATTTGAATAATGTCGAGTAATGGTACTGTCTAAAATTATAACACGTCTACTAAATTTACCAACGGGAGCCTTGGCAGAGATGCATCTTTAGCAACTGAATTAAGAATTTTTTCTTAGCTCCTCTTTCTTTTTTTTCCCCTTTCCAGCCTGCATCATAGTGAGTGCCTGAGAAACGCAGATTAAGATAACATTGTATTTTTGCCCGAGATGAAGGGAAGTGATTGGCTTGCTGACTTGGATCGGAGTTATTTTTAGTCTCATAAAATGATAATTTCATAATAGCGCTGACCCAGTAAAAGTAATTAGTTTACATCGATCAGCTGAAAATAGGGGACAGAGTAGCCACTGCCAGTAGGAGAGCAGCACAAGGGGAGGGGAAGCTATAGGCCCTGCAACGAATTAGCCCGAACTGATTACGTCTCTTGGCTGACTGCAGCCCGTGCACTTGAAATCAGCTTTCAGCATGAAGTGCGGGCAGAGGCACGGCTTCCCTGGCACTGCCGAGGGGATTTCGGAGCGCCTCCAGCCCGGTGCTCACATCACAGCCAAGGCGAAGCCCCCCCAGTGCCAGCATCCGTGGGTCTGGTGTGGGGTGCGGAATGTGGCACGGAACTCCTGGCCCAGTTTCATGTTAAGGAAATGATACGAGGCAGCTTTTGTTGCTAATTTAAATGGATCCCTACCCTCAGGGCAGCTGAAGACAGAAGGTGGGAACACCTGTGACCCTGGGCACTCAGGTGGGGCCACCTCATTAAAAGAAAAAAAAAAAAAAAAGGCAGAAAGCTACAGAAAGCTGTAAGATAATTGGAGAAACTTTTCTCAGCTTAGTGTCAACAGCAATCTTCCGTGGCACCCACCACGCTTACAGCTGGGTTTGAGTCTCCAGCAGAGAGCCTCGGCTGTACCAGGGCTCCTAAATGAACAGCTCCGCTGTTACCTGTGCGGCTCTGCGGGGCTTGGGGGAGGCTGGGTACAGCTGGCATTTAATGCAGGCGGTGTCTTCCTGCCCTTCATACCCACCCATGCAGAAGTGCACAGGGACAGAGCTGCCACAGCGTGTTATCAGAGGACGGAGCAGGTTTATTTATTTTTAATGCAGCACAAGCCTCAGAAATGGAGATCTCCGATCCTAGCTGTTGGTTCCCGCATTACCCGGGGAAGTGCTCTGAGAAGATGTGCCTGGGCATGACCCCAGGCGCAGGAGGACCCGGCCTCGGCTCCCCTCCAGGCCTGCAGCAGGGTCTGGCAGCCCCGGGGCTGTGCAGAAGGAAAGAGCCCCCACTAGGTCATTTATCCATTGCCCTCTCACTCTCACCGCTTCGACATCCAGCACAGATTTTTATTTTTTCTGTCAAACTCTACCACATCCACTGTAAATTTGTTAATATTTTCCGTTGGGCAGGCAGCCTGCCGCATGTTTTCTCAGCTTTGTGCCACTCCCCAAGAGCTTTCGTACAATCCTACAGCAAAATACTGCTCTCGTGTTTCCCGTAGAGCCAGCGGTGGCATCCTGCCTTCCCGCAGAAGCGCAGCCAGGCGCTCCCAGACACACCAAACCCCAGCCCGACGGAGCTGCCACCTGCGATGTGGCCCAGTGGGAGCCCCCAGCCACTGCTCCGGGTGCCACTATCCCCGGCTGTGCCCCAAACACCCCGCGGAAGGGGTGCCTGTCCTCCCTGCGGGTCGTGCTCCTGGACGGGCACTGCCCGCAGAAACAGATCGTGTCTGTTTAACTATTTACCAGCGCTACATTAGAGCGCATTCAAGGGCTGTAATTCACCTCTTAAGGTTACAAGTAAGCGTGGAAGAGTTATTTTAAAATCAATATCTAGCAGAATGCCATTGTTCCAACATTAAAACCTGCTGGGAAATTACTAGGAGGCATGTGGCAAGTCAAATCACTGCCTGCCAGAGGAGGAAACAATTCATTACTTCTTTAAAAGGTGCAAATCTTTACTGGCTTTTCGTTTTGGTTTGCAGCCTGAGAAATGGTGCTGGAGCATCTGGCTCTTTCTTTCTCTCATTCTTTAGTGATTTCACTCTTTTGTTCTGGCTCTGCTTCACGGACTTCTCCTTGCTTTCTGCACGGGTTTGGGTCTGGGGACGAACACTGCGGCATCGCCGCCAGTTCTGTCGCTCTTCCTGATGGAGGCCAGCACTTGGCGTATGAATTCTCTCTCACCTATAAAAGCATCTGCAACAACAACAAAACCAAAGTGGGCAGCCACTCAAAGTCATTTCATGAGCAGGCTCTTCACCGCGAGGATTCAAGAGAGCCATTGAGCAGATCGCCTGGGGAAGCCTGCTGCTTTCATCTTGCCCTGCCATCTGCAGCAAAATTAAAACACAGATCAGCTTTA